ATTTGTTATATTGACAGCTTGTACTGTAATCGTTCGAAATTTATTTTTAAAATTGCTCGAAAATACAAAATTCAATCCAGCTATAATGTTTTTATGTCATTGTCGCAAAACTGCATATACATGCTCAGTACCTTTGCGCATACCTTGTTCAGGCCTGTTCCCTGATCCAAGACTGCAGGGGGGTGGGTCTTTAAATCCTATATAGTGGATTTTTTTTTATATGCGAGCGCGAAGCCCTGAATTTGCGGGGTCCGGGGACGCTTAAGAACCCCAGGAAATTTTTGGATTGCAGATGCTCTGTGGCGCAAATATCAAAATTGTAGCTGGACCCTCTATCGAAATATGCCCTCGTTATTTTGAGTCGTCACTAATAAGAATCAGCTCAATTCGTAACTGCCTGCGAGCGAGCACGTGCTTGTGTTTTGCATGGCTGTAGCTGTCAACCCCCGTAAATGAAGCGGGGGGGGGGGGGGGCTGTTACCATACTTCAATAGGGGGCGCTGTTCGAATTCGACGATTAAAAACACTAGATTACAGAATGGTGTACCGTATTTTGAACAGGCGCACATTATACCAGTATAATGGGTTTTTTGGGGTGTCACAGCAGGGGGGGGGGGGGTTCGCATTATTTTTTTAGGAATTTGTATGATAATTTTTTTTTGACCTCCCCCCCCCCCCGATCCGCGCCTGTTTAGCCGTGGTGGCTATCTGCCCTTAGTTTTGACAGAAACCAGACTATGAACAGCCTTCGCTTGTACACACTGCTCCACCCCAGAAGGGCTAAATTTCATTGGATAGATTTGACCCAGCTGGTGCGCACAAAATGTACATGCATTGTTCATGGCGGTGACCTACCCACAATGCTTGATGGTACCTACAAAAAAGTGAAAGAGATTTGCTGTCAACAGCTACCCATATGATCGCGCAAGGCATGATGGGAACCAACATGGCGCAGCAAGATCGTACCCATGGGGAAGTCTCCCCTAACTCTCTCTTCTCATTTATAACGTTGAGGGGGTACTTGTGCAACACGTCTGCCTCCCCATTCAACACATAACCCACTGCGATGATGGACTTTTTTGGAAAGCTCAATTCACCACTGAATTAGATTTTTTTTAAGGTATTTAGCTTTGTGATGATAAACAAATTCTTTGGAACAATTGATTATTTATGGATAAAAGTATTAAGTACCATTTGAGGAAACAACATCTCCGATGTACCCTTCTCAACGCACTGTCCACAGCGGCGCATTCTTCTGACAGCTTAACACAGCACTTATTCAGCAAGTATAATGTTTGATTACAGCTACAGATACGTCTTCATATAAGCGACCCAGAATGCCATTCCAACTTCCTTTACAAGATAATGGGAGCTAATCAGCCCTTCTCAACAGTGCCCTGTTTGCAGGGCGGGGGTACGAGCGAATAAATCAAGTAGTTATTTCGCACCAAGGCAAACTTACTTGCGCGCGTGCCTCCTTTTTGTTTCGTTCAATAGAGGGCGCGCAACATAAATAGTGGTCTCCACAAAGTTTCAACACGGATGCTGCACTTTTGAACAAACTCGTTTCCGATGAATAACTAGAAAAATACCGGATGAATGAAACTGAAATTTCGTGCAGTGATTAACCATGATGTGTAACATAAGTGTATTGAATATCACAAGAAACCGTAGAGCAATAAATATAACATGATCGTAACAATGTGGTGTTTTGAAAGCGAAAAATCCACGTCGACTTGCATTCGGATTGTATTGGGCGCGCTCAAAACACTGTGTTGTTACGGCCATAATAGCTTCATTATTTGACGGTTTCTTATGAAATTAAATCTCGTCATGTTAAACATAATGAAAAATCAGTGGACGAAAATTCAATGGAATCCATCTGGTATTTCTTGATCGAGCCACTATTTATGTGGCGAACCCTCTATTTGAAAGAAAATTAAAGCATATGCATTGGTGAGCGACAACTGAGGTTTCAGACCTGTAATCGACTCCCATAGAGCTAAGGGATAATTTCACGTAATTCCAATTTCAAAAAAAAAAAAAATACTCACAACTCTGCCAGGCGTATGAGACATCTATCAAACCTATCTTGGGTTTGTGTTGTGAAAAACAAGGCATTAGACATGCATGTAATGGACCAATCAGAAGATAGGAAACGGATGTCGTTAGCGAAATAATGATTCGCGAGCGGGAAAGGGGGGGGGGGGACCGGGTACGAGTGACGCGCTATCATCAATAAAATAAACTCTGCCAGGCGTATGAGACTTCCATCAAACCTATCTTGCTCCTGCTCTCACACCCTGGTATTGGAACATTTGCATGTGCAATCTTTTTGAACACATATGCAAATGAGGAATAGTCTGTGTGCCTGCCTGTGCGCTACATTTGCATTTGTTTTTGTATGCTGTGTCTGGGATAAAAACAGAATCAATTCGTCGCAGCGCGAGCATGGCACGAGTTACGGAAATTCAATATTATTTTAATTAAACTGTTACGATCTTATCGAGACAACATGCAGTATCACATTTCATATTACTATGAACAAATTGGAAAGGAAATGAACATTTTAAAGAAGGCGTGGACGAATGCTCGCGAAAACACGTACTGCACGTTGTGAATAACACATTGGTTCACAAAAATGGCGCTGGAATCAAAACTACTGGACCGAATTGGAAGTTCTTTGTATCTTTTTCCTTCTAACAAAACTATCCATATATATCAATAATGTAGGTCTCTGAATAGTCGAAGTATGAGGTTGCGTTTTTTGGGACCACCCTGTATAAAAGCATCCTCACTGAATGTAGTAGAGTCTTTACGTCAACAAATCTGGTGAGGCCTAGTTGCCATCTGAAAACAGTTTTGGAACCCTTAAGATGTTTATTTTGAGCCGTTATATACATTTCCAAAAATATTTCTAGGAAAAACATGTTTAGGGAATTTTTTTGAAAAAAAAAATCTTGAAAATCAATATTTAATCAATATAAAATTAGTACCGTAAACAATATTCATTTGAATTGCATAATTCTATTTTTTTGGTTTTATCGAACCTTTGAGGGTCAGTAACGGTGAAAAGAAACACCATCCCACTCCCAGACCCCAATGCCTGTGCTAGTAGTGGCAGCATCAGCAGAAAGATAATATGTTGTTGCCTGACCTTGTATGAGATATAGGTTTCCCTGCTATTTTAAAAGAGTTTTCATTCAAATTCACCAACTCTTACATTCAATCTCGTCCGAGAAAAATTCCACACCCTTTTAACCAAACTAATTTAGCCATTTACCATTCAATTTCATAGTTTGGTCACCCTCTTTAGTCACCGGGTCGAGAACATTCATCATTACAGATCAAATTCGTCTAAGCTGTTGCCGAATGGCAGCATTCAGAGATCGAAGTCGTCTTATATAAATCAATTAGACGAATTTGATTTCTGAATAACAAGGTTCGACGTAGACAAGACAAAGTCGAATACTCCGGGAAGAAAACGTGAGCTCATTGTTTTAATTTGCTTGAACTGAATTTGAAATTGTCTGACAAAAGAAAAAAAGATCTCGAGATGAATATCATCGCTAACGTTAAACGTTATTGACACCTTTTCAAAAACAAAACTGACAAAATATCATGACATGTAATAGTATCTTGTAGGCCTATCAATAGTATCAATAACATCATACATCCTGTGAAATCTTGATCTTAAGACAAGATAAGATAAGATTGAACTTTATTATCCCTCAGGAGGGAAATTAAAATGGCCTTGACAAAGAACGGGTTATAAAAACATACAATCATTAATTAAAAAGATGTAAAAATGCAATGTAGTTACCACAAACTTATAAATCAAGAAATTACATGTAAAAAACTAACTACTACATATAATACACATATTTCATTACATTAATGAGGGATCAGTGTCAGCCACACGACAGTTCCTTGTTCCAGTTGCTCATTGTACCATTTGATAGCTGCTGGAACGAATGAACTGCCGTATCGCCGTGTCCTGATCCTTCGTTGTAAAAAGCGAGTTCGTTTGGAAGTCAGCATGCCTACCAAAAAAAATATGTCCAAAAGATGGACGCTTGCAGTTTCTAAAACTAGACAACGAAGGGTCCAACATTTTTATCAACTTCGTAGGACTTAAATACACTTTTTTAAAACCGACAAATTTAACGTAGTATTATACACTAAATTAGTCGACATTTAATATTCTGCATCTGTTATCATCCTGGTATAATATACATGTATTTACATTAAAAAGATGAATGAAACAGGGCCAAATTTCATGGCTCTGGCTTACGTTAGCGAAAAATGTCTGCTTACTGTAGCAGAAAAAAAATCTGTGCTATACGGTAAGCGTATTTCACTGGTCAGTGAGGGATTTTGGCTTCTGCGCACGCGTACATACCATAACTAAGGATTCTGTGCTTACAGGGTTAGCGCATAACTTTCTGCTGGCGCGTTTCGCACAGAATGGTGAAAATAAGCGCATAATTATTTGGTTAGCAGAGTCATGGAATTGGGCTAGATCTCAGTGACGGAAATTCCGCCTGTGGGATTTTTTTTGTACCATTGCAGCTATAATAATTGTTTATAATGGACAGCAACATATAGATTACATTGTAGGACAGTTCGCGTGAAGAGCTTTGCTGTAAACTTAAATAAAAAACAAGGCTAAGGCCAAACAAGTCTCCGGTTTCTAGTCAGCGCGCGCATCACCGTAGCCATGCGCGTCGGCAAAATATAGAATTTTTTTTTTCAATGTAAGCTGATGTCTCTAAACCGCCAAACTCACTGGTTTGACTGGAATCCTGCTGCTGCACAATTTTAACGTGTTTTGGATGGGGTTACTATCGAGTATAAGCTTTAGGTGGCCTCTCTGGGTTCCCATATATTTTACACTATATTTAGTCGGGCACCATTTGCAGACGATTTTGCAATTTTATAATTGTGCGTTTGAGGAAGCCAGACTGAGGGAGCGACGGTCGTGTATCTGGAATCCGTAAACGCTTTTAGAATTAGCGCAATAATAGTGAGCAGACTAATGACCAGCCTCGCAGCACATGCACGATGTCGATGTATGATCTGACGTTACCGTTCTCTCTGATTTTTGTCTTGACTATCCAAATTTCCCGAAGAATGTTCGTGTCGGTCGAGATCGTAAGTGCGTGCAGAATGCTCAAGCCTTATGGCCTCACTGAGGTCACCTCAAGGTCCACCCTTAAGGATATTTTTGAGAGTTTTAAGGGGATCAAAGCGTCATTTGCAACATCAGACGATATTTGAAGAAAAAAAAAGTAGGAGAGAAAAAAAAACGCGTCGCCGCACCACTTTTGGGGCAAGCTCCATACCAGAAACCGGAGACTTTTTTTGTTTGGCCTAGCCTCAAGACATAATCTTAGATAAATTGTCACTTTTTAGCAAGTAATACTGAAAAATAAATGGTAGGGTGAAACAGGTTAAAATCCAATGAAGTTGCCTGTCCAGCAAATACGTGTGTGTGTGTGTTTTTTCCCCTCGCAGACATATTACTCATAGACATTATTCCAATATAACGGCAGATTGTAGCACATGTACAATCCTTGCACGCGGCGACCCTACACAATTCACCTCTTGGTGTACTAAATGAAATGCTCGCTTTGAAGAAAACATTACGTGACTAATATCCACACACAATTTCGGGACTGTATTTTTGCCCCTAGAGGTTCATTGCACGTTTCTCAGGGATAATGAGTTAGCCGAGTTCAATGACTGAATGTATGTTGTAAGTAAATTAGGCGTAACAAAAAAAACAAGAAAAGCAACTTGGTACTTGGCTTTTCATTACTACCTCCGTTTGCACCTATTGAAACACCCTTGAAGATTGCGCCGTGACATCCGAATCAATCTACATTCGAACACCTTTATAACAAGGTCCTTGGTCGAACACCTTTATGACAAGGTCAATGGGACTTTACAAATTACCTTTTTATAACAGGTACCTTGTATTATTAGTAATGGAAAAGAAAGAAAAACAAAGACTAGTCTTGGAGCTTAACATGTTCCTTGTTATAAGCAGGATGTTGTAACAACATTGCTCTTCGTATCAGGGTTCGACTCTACATGCATAGTCCCAAAATGATGTCAACAATAAATCCGGAGCTTCTCGACTATACTAGTTGGGACTGTAGTTGGGGCCTAACATTAACATCCTCTACCAGATAAAAAAATCTTAAGATAGTTCCCAGCTTATCCAGTTTTTATTTTGTGGCAGAAAATCGTGTCTATCATTAATGCGTGAGGGCAGGAAACCATCTCTGTATCCACTATTAACGTACGGGCCATCATGTCGGCTGATACATATGGCGATTCGTCAGACCATTCATTGGGTACAGATTGTTGTTGTGTGAGTGCTGAGACACAGTGACAATGCCTCTGCCCTCGACGTCACGGCAATCTCGTGGGTTCTCTTTCTCGTACGCCATTTTGCGAGTGTCCACTGGAATTGCCAGCATGAGGCCGACAGGGATGAAGAGAAGGCCGTGAAGCGCCCCCAGGGAGATCACGAGAAACATGGTCTTAAAGAAAGTCCGGAAGATGTGAGAGTCCGAAAAATAGAGGATCAACAGGCCGAGTATGGTGGAGAGGGATCCTTGAACGATCGGCATGCCAAGGGAGTAGAGGGCATGTATGGCGCTGTCACGACGGGATTTTGTGTTGGTCGATGTGTAGGCATAACAGATGTGGGCTGAAAAGTCCACACTGAAACCAATACAGATGATGAGGTTGGTCATGGCGATGGAGTCCAGGTTGACTTGCCAGAGAGTCATGAGTCCAATCACCCCTGTGACGATTGAGACAATGGACAGAGTGACAAGGATGGCGCATACTGGATGAGGTATCATCACCAGAGACACGATGAACATGGCTCCTATGGCAATACCGATGTTCTGGAAGGTATTAGGCAATATCGCAAGGTACTGATCATAGTAGATGAAAAGCGGATGGTACACAATGGATGGTAGATCAGCTTCCTCTGCGATGCGCCGCAAGTCCGTCATCATGAATCTCTTCCTGTCCTCTGAGTCCAGGTTCTTGGAAGTAACAAAGAATCGTGACGCCACAATGGTCCGGTTGTCATCACTGAAGGTGATGTCAAGCACATACCTCCGGAACGCTGGGATCTCTAGAAAGGTGTTGCGCAGAATATCCATGAACTGAGCCTGGGTGGGATTTCTGAAGTGGATTGCGTCCAGGAAGTCAAGATAGTCTCTCAGCCAGGACACGGTCAGATTGTGATCCTTATCGTACGTGTAATCACTCTCTTCCATCTTTACAAGTACCTCCTCCATGAGGTCTTGTATCAGCGGATTCCACACGTCTCTGGGCTCTGTGAACACGAGTGCCACAGGTGGACCGTACTCAGAAAAGAAGTTGTTTTCAGCTTCCAGGTGAGCGGCCACGAATGAGTTATCCCTGGCAAGATTACGGAGGTCCAGACCTTCGCGAACCTGGGTGCATCCGTAGATGGCGGTGCCCAGGTAGCCCAGAAACAGTAATATTGTCGGAATCACCACCCACCAACGCGTGATAAACGGGCCGTAGTAATTCTTGAAGAAAAGCATGAGGGCGTGGTCGTTAGTGTCCCCACCCTCCCTGTCAGTGGGTTGCTGGGACGAACCACCAGCGCAGAATAAGGTGTAGGCTGTAGACGTAGACTCACTCTTAGGTCGGACTTTGAGGCAGGACATACAGTGTCGGTTAGTTGCCTCGCGTCGACCAGTCAGCACCATACAGGCGCCGAAGAAAGTGATCTGATAGGCGTAGTCAAAGATGACGGCCACACCCGTGTACATACAGAATATACGGACGGATCTGAAGAACGTAATAGCGCCGATTCCGAAGGCCAGTGCATCTGTAATGGACGTGATGGTAATAGACATGGCAGCTTCAGAGAAGGCATGGCGCATGCGTCGTTCCACTGACCATCTGACGTCAGTCTGTCGCCAAGCAGCCAACATGATGAACATGTCATCCACCCCAATGCCTTTGATGTAAGTGAAGAGAAAAAAAGAAACCAATTCGTATCTATCATTAGTTGTTGATACAATTGGTATTTTTGGAAGAGGAACATAAAAACCAAGCGGGCATACAACTTCTTTAATTTTGACGACGCTATATTAAATTACTAGAGCGCTAACTCATGTACAATGTGATGCCTGCTAGGCGCATCCATGTTTGTACACAAACCTATGGAGAACTAGACATCTTGTACGTATTTTGTACGTCTATTTGCATATCTGCGTTTGTATTCCATACCGGTGCGTAATCGAAGCAGATACGCCCAAAACCGAAACGCACAATCAGCAAATGAGCGTTTCATTTTGCTCTACGCAAACAGCGCAACGTGTGCGCGTCCCTCCGCTGCAGATGCTCTTCTCCTAACGTTTTTGAACCGTCATGACGCGCTTAAGTTGTTTGCGTGTCTTCTACTTGCGCGTTGCATTTAGAGTGCACTTTTAAAATTCAATCCATCTATTTAAATTGTGTTCTACAAACACGATTTTTATTTATTTGTGTCTGCGCCCAGAGCGGCTACAAAGCTTCCCCGCGCGCAAGAATGAAGAGTTAGCACTCTAGTAATTTAATATAGCTCTATGTGTGAGACACAGTTGAGTGAGTTGATTGTTCGATAACTTAATCAATAGCTAATTAACCTTAGGGAGCTTGGGTGAGTTGCTTTTGGGATAGCTTATCTACTAATTGAGTGCATTGTAGTCACGAAGCTTCGTGTAGCACCTATTATCTTCAAGCAAACTTGTGATATGAGGCTGTATTGATATGTGTGATATGAGGCTGTATTGCACGGTCCATATCGCACCCTGCGTATTGCACTATTCCAAGATGCGAGCGACGTTCCAGCATATACGCTAAACCGCTAAAAGGTTCGTGTAAAGCGATGATCCAACTGTATTGCGCGTCAAGTTTGCTTGAAGATAAATTCGTTATCACGCTCGCGCTCGTGGAACACGGAAAATGTAGTGCGTCTGTGTCCCACATACCACTCGGCCTTCGGCCTCGTGATATGTGCGACACAGACGCACTACATTATTTCGTGTTCAGCTCGCGCTCGCGGGATAACTTATAATATTACAAGCAGGACTTTCAATTTCATTTCGTGAAGGTCTTAACAAATAATTTGGGTACGGTGTACAATAAATAACATGTAGGTTCAGTGGAGTACTGTATAGTTGTGAAGTGCTGTGGTATCGTGGTTAAGGGCATTTGAATCGTGGTCAGCGGGTAATAAAGCTGCTGATTGTGGGTTCGAGTCCAGTCTGGGGTCTTGGTGCGTAGGCCCTTGGGTAAGGCACTTTGTGACTCTGTCATTGCTTCTCTCCACCCAGGAGTAAATGGGTACCTGTGAGAGCAGAGATGGTTATTGTGATTGAATTAGCTTCCTTGCGCCTAACAGGCTGCACCGAGCTGTATACTCCCCAGGGAGCTGATATGGTATTTGGAATGTTTCATGGGCCCAATGAACAGTGAAGTACGCCTTGAGTACCAGTCCTGGTGGATACGTGCGCTTTACAAATACCCACTATTATTTTTTATTTATTATTGTTATTAAGTCGAAGCAAACTTCCAAAACATTCTGTCCAATCTTTGGTGTTTTTTTGGTTCTCTGAAAAGAAAGTTCAGCAATTTAACTTACCGATTATGAGAAATGGTGAAGAGCCTACAACATTAATGTAGGGTACACCAATATAGCTCATGAGACCGAATGTGGACAACACAGCCAGCCCTGCAGACAGGACACCACAGCTCGCCAACCAAGGCTTGCTACGCACCCAGTCTAGCATCACACACGAGCACACGCTGAACGTGATCAATATGGTGAATGTCACTGTGAAATCCTTGATGACTCCAGAGCTAGCGTCGTCTAGCTCAGTCTCGATGGAATTCGACACCTCGCGAGTTACTGTGATGACTGATGATGTAAAAGCTTCAGCCACTTCCAGAAACGTTTCCTCCCATAAGGCGCTCCGCTGGTTCTCCACGCTGTCTTCGTATCGTAAGAAGTAGGACAACTGAATGACCTCAGCCGAGAGGACATCATCTTGAGAACCTGATACAAAAGTCACTCCGCCTAGTCCTCCACCGAGAAAATAAGGTACGGCGTTGTCAGCTGATGATGTATAGAGGGGAAATGTCAGGGTGGTCGACGGAACCTTAGACGAGTTATAATCATAGGCAGCCAGTATGGCATTTTCGTTACAAACACCGTCCCATTTCACGCAGAGATCGGTGAATCTGTATTCCTGGTTGTCAAGGGTTATTCGGATATTCATGATCTGTTCGTGTAAATCTAAAATGTCATCCATGGCAGCCTGGGTCAGGATGTTCTGTCCATCCTTGTGGCGTATGGTCACGCTCCCCTCTCGACCAATATTCAACAGATGTGACACCAACGTGTCATTGTCACCGTGTTTTGCAAACAGTGTGTCCACCGTGTTTCTGTCCGTCTTGGCCTGGCCGTTTTCCGGTGTGTACAGGTTCTCCAAGTTATTTTCGTTTGTTAGAAACACCATCCCAGCCCCCAGTGCCCCTGCCAGCAGTGGCGGCACCAGCAGAAAGGGGATCGGGTGTCGCGCGATGAAACCCCCGTAGTTGAAGAAGAACAACCTGATGATTTTCTCGATACAGTCAAATGCCATCTTTAAGCCAGTGTGGCCGAGGTGAGAGTTAATAAAATCGTGTTTCCTGAAAATGTTCCGGGACCAAGCTCAAGTTTGTTTCGCATACGCTCTTCTTCTCATTCCCAGAAACTCACTCCGTAACCTGCAAAGTGAGGCAAATCAAATAATAAGTTTTACTACAAAATCAGGTTTTGCTGTAATCTGTGGTGCATATCTTTTTTTCAAACTTTGCTTTTGATGAAGTTTTCTTATGATGTGAGATCAATCCATTCTAATCCAAGCTAAAATCCACTGGGCTTGTACACTTTGAGCAATTTTGCAGTGAAGGACTACTGTCGAACAGAATGATCCAATTTGGAATCCAAACGCGTTTCCCACGGAACGATACATGTAGTTGGAAGGATCTTATAAACGTTTAATAGAAGTTTCCCTAGTTATTTCACCTTATATAATATCGCCCAAATGCCCTACATTTGATGGTGCAATTGACTTCTGGAAATATGTCCATGTATATACAAATCAAAATGGCTGCCGGGTCAGATGTGAAGAGAGTTCATCATATTGTTTTGCATAAAATTAGTATAAAACATGTGGGTTTTCTGTGGCCTCCTTTGAAATTGTACTATTCAAAAATGAAATTGCCAAAATATCATGAAATATCCTGCTTGATTGTAAGTAAACAATGGGATCATGCAAGCATCGTGTGAAATCATTGCCCCTAACATGCGGTCATTTTCGTGAAAAGAGGAAATATAATCATTTCGCGATGTTAGGATCAAAGCATTGCACTTCAACTGAAAGCTTGCGTCGAGAAAAATGAAGACTGAGCAGTTTCACAGTTTTCTCAAACAAAATGGCGTCTGCTGAACTGAAATTTCTACAAGTTAGTTTTCAAATAACTTACTTCAGATAAATTGTGTTGTTGTTCCTTGAATCGGGAAGTATGCATCCCCCTACATTAATGATGTCTATTACATGTACCTTTGAAGTTGAAAATGTCATAATAAAAGAACCAAATTACTCACTCTGCACCGTGCTTATAGTGCTACGGGACATGAGTTGCTGTTCATTACATTCGATGCCCTCAATGATCCTAGATTGAAAATTCTACATCCCACTCATACAAGTACGATCTGTAGGTGGGCCTATATTACTTTTTAAATTGTTATCGGAACACCTTACGTGGTGTCCTTTTGTGATGTGATGTCAACCATCGACTGCACTGAACAAGTTCCTGTACGTATTCATAAGATGAGTTTGCGTCGGAATGATGCAGATTAATATAAGGGTTTGCCCTTCACCGAGGTATAAACACTGTATTCTAAAAGTGTGTTACGTTCTTCAAACGGGCGAACAACCACCTTTCCAAAGGGGAAATTGGATGAAGGAATTTTGGGCAATTGGATGAAGGAACAAAATTCTCACCAACGTACTATTCAGTGTATGCAGGACTACGATCTGAATAGAGATAGTTTGGTGGATGGGCGATACAGGATTGTTGGAGTGCATGACCGCATTTAGCTCGATACATACAAGTGGCAGATCTACGAGGGAGGGAGGGGCTAGGGTAAGGGGTCTAAACACCCTCTTGGCGGCACAATAATTATGGAAATTGTGAAGAAAAACGCAGCAAATGCCTGCTACCCCTTCTGGCAGCTTAATGGCATATAAGATCACTTCATCTGCTTGTCATGTATTTTTCGTTTCCATAAATATCACTACTCAAAATGCAATGAAGAATGTTAAAAAAAACTAACCTGTTGAAATTTCTGCATGCTCAGTGGATGTTGCCTTTTCGGACAAACAGTAAAAACTATGCACAACCACCTGCGATATACAGTATGAAGGAGTATCCTTCTTCGAAGTTTGTTTTCGTACTGTGACTTTAATCATACGAAATCGCCCGCCGTTCCCACCTGCAATGGGCATAATAATGCATGCTACCGTTACGTGTATAATTGCTATGGTCTCCAGAGCTGAACAACACATCCTTTCCTTTCATCTTCTTGAGGCACAATGATGATCGGCGAGGCTTGTTAAGCTCAAAACTAAACATGTCTGTCCTTCCAGCACAATAGAACATAAAAATATGCTTGCCACGCCCGCTGTATGCCTATTGTGTACACCCTAAACCCGTGTGGACACTCTTCACATAATGACCCCCTCTTCAGTCTTCGCATATATGTAGTATGGTTGAGTCACTGACTTGCGGTGCACACGGGGAACCGAATCCCGGCTTCGGCACTCTGAAGCACGGTGCCAACCATGGGCTTCGATCGGTGGGGAACGGGGGGACATGTCGTTCCCCAACGATGTTCGTCCCTGAATAAGGAAAATGTAGCCTACATTTGATTCTATAGCTCAGAACAGCTATTTAATGACTCCAAACTCGAAAAAAAGAAGACTTTTAAAGGATGATCTTGTGCTGAAACTTTGGCAATCGTCAGAAATTGCCTCAGATCGCACCACAGGGCGCCTAGAATCCATTTTTTTTCAGGGGCCCTTAAGCGGGCCCCGAACCCCACGCCGTTTTTAATGTGACATTGTATAAGCATCGTTCCCTAGACTTAGCGAAAGTACAAGAAAGGATGAATTTTCCCAAGCTATCTAATGGAGCTGAATTAGAATCAGGCAAACAAAATTCCCTCGTAAATATTTGTAACTGGGTCAGTAGTTTGATGTAATGAGGTAAGGGAAACATGCTAGAATTTCACTCAATCAGCGCGATATGTCAGTGCCGGCCGAAATACCGCGACGCGAAACAATTGATGAGACAGAATAAGGAGTTTATTAAGGTGAATTGCTCATAGTGTGGAGCTCCATGCAGGTAGTGACTCTGAATAGTCAACTTCTCGGTACATAATAATGATTGAAGAAAAGAGTTACGTAACAGCATTCATGTGTATAGCGCGATGCTGATGCATCTTTCGTGCAGCTATGAAACACAAAGAAGCTCTCCCACTGCGGAAATAAGGATTATGTTTTAAATGCAAAGAAAAAAGCACCTACTGAAACAGCCTAGTTGTTAAGCTGTCTGACAGCGGATCCAGGGTTAGGGGTTCGAACCCGCTTGGAGTCACTTTTTGATTTTCGACGCCCGCGGTTCTGCCATTTAAGAGTATTAATTTCCCGTCGTCATTTACCAACAGCAGTTAGCTCGGTCGGTCGGTAAGCTGACTCACAAGTTGGGACTGTCTGCGAAGTCCAGGTTGGCGTCTGCGTATAGGTACGGGGTTCTTTTGCTGACTCGGCAGCAAGGCTTAGGGTGCCACCTCGTTTCCTCCCTTTATGGTGCCTGACTTTCGAGTTACATGGATGGACAGGGAAGGAGGTGTGGTGGGCCGTGTACCGAGTCCCAGAAGAGTTCTATATGGAAGTCGGTAAGGGGCTCATTAAGTTAGGGTCATAAGTCCGACTCCTGAAGACTTGGCCATCGCCACATAACTTTTTTTTTTTTTTTTTTTTTTTTTACTATCGGAGGACAATTGCAAGAATGATTAATTTGTTATATTGACAGCTTGTGCTGTAATCGTTCGAAATTTATTTTTAAAACTGCTCGAAAATACAAAATACAATCCAGCTATAATGTTTTTATGTCATTGTCGCAAAACTGCATGTACATGCTCAAAACCTTTGCGCATACCTTGTTCAGGCCTGTTCCCTGATCCAAGACTGCAGGGGGGTGGGTCTTTAAATCCTATATAGTGGATTTTTTTTTATGTGCGAGCGCGAAGCCCTGAAGTTGTGGGGTCCGGGGACGCTTAAGAACCCCAGGAAATTTTTGGATTGCAGATGCTCTGTGGCGCAAATATCAAAATTGTAGCTGGACCCTCTATCGAAATATGCCCTCGTTATTTTGAGTCGTCACTAATAAGAATCAGCTCAATTCGTAACTGCCTGCGAGCGAGCAGTGCTTGTGTTTTGCATGGCTGTAGCTGTCAACCCCCGTAAATGAAGCGACTGCGCGGCAGCTTGTGCCGACATGACAGAATGGGGGGGGGGGGGGGGGGGGCGCTGGTACCCATCTTCCAAATGGGGGAGCTCTTCAAAACTGACCATTATTATATATACTATATTATTATATGGACATTTTTACGGCGCATTGTAATGGTTGTTGAGCGGGTTTTCTTTAGTGGGATTGATGTCAGAAGAACTCTATAAACACTTCAAATCATTGCTGACAAAAAAAATTGTCAAACAAATCCGCAAGGGGGGGGGGGGGGGGGCAAAGTGCCCCCCTGACAGAATAGTCAGAATATTAGTGTCAGGGAACCAGACTATGAAAAGCCTTCGCTTGTACACACTGCTCTATGCAGAAGTGCTAACTTTGACCCAGGTGCACACGGAGTGAACATGCATTGTTCGTGGCGGTGACCTACCCACAATGCTTGATGGTACCTACGTGTCTTCCAAAACAAAACTGTGAAAGAGATTTGCTGTCAACAGCTACCCATAGGATCGCGCAAGGCGTGATGGGAACCAACATGGCGCAGCAAGATCGTACCCATGGGGAACAAGGTCCCAGTGGTCTCCCCTAACTCTCTCTTCTCATTAACGTTGAGGGGGTACTTGTGCAAGTAGCTCCGACACCTTCAGCACGTCTGCATCCCAATTCAACACATAACCCATTGCGATTATGGACTCTTTTTTTGGACAGCTCAATTCACCACTGAATTTTAAAAAAAACCCAGGTATTTAGCCTTGTGATGATAAACAAATTCTTTGGAAAGATTGCTTTTTTTATGGATAAAAGTATTATGTACCATTTGAGGCAACAACATCCCCTTAACGCACTCTTTACGCTCTTACCCCTCTTAACGCACTGTCCAAAACGGCAGCGCATTCTTCTGACAGCTTAACACAGCACTTATTCAGCAAATTTGGGGGAAAAACTGGTTTGTTTCACCTTTATGAAAACAATGGTGCTGGGATCTCTTCGGCTGCGGATAAGCAAATAAGATATCCACGGAAAGCTCATGACTATTTAAGATTAAACCAGTGTTCAAGTTCATAACTGTTAAATAGTAAAGTATTATTTTATTTTTTTTGTGACATTTCCCCCCCCCCCCTGGTTTCATTGTGGCTTTTATTGTAAAACACTTCAGAGTATGTCCTACACCTAACATCCTAATTTAAAAGAAACTTAACATTCTGTGCACGGCTTATGGTTATTGTTATTGTTAAAGGGAATATACATCATTTGCTTTTGCTGTAATTTTCAGAAATGGATGGAATTGGGGGGTTGGAAATATATAGCAAATATAGTTACACTGACTTTTTGAGGTTTTGGGTTCAAAAATGCTATAAAATCCAAGAAAAACAATCATTTTCCTGTAGTCTGGTTCCCTGACTCCATTTAAGAAGAAACGGAGCAGTTTACATACATTGGGGAATTGTAAGGTCAGGGAACTAGTCTAGCTGGCTTGTACCCGTTCATAGGTGTGTAATCGATTGCAAACAAGTGCGATGGTCAATTGGGGCCAGTATTTGAAAAAAGCCAGTTTTTTTCCAACGCTGGTCGGCCGATCAGCGTTGGAAATTGATACAAAAATACCACTTTTCTTGAAAATGTCAGTATACCAGGTGCCATGATTTTACATGGTGCTTTACACTGTCATTCACTAACAGTCCAGCAAGGTGTTTCAAAATGATTTGGTAGTTTCATTTTTTGATGTTTACAAATGTTGTATTTTCCCTTTAAGGGGTAAGTTAAAAACGGTACAATGAAGAAAAAACAAAAAAGGAAAAAAAGGGGCAAAGCCGATTGTAAATTGTAACTTAATCAGCACGTCATCATTGCTATTATAGTAGTTTTACCCTCACCGGTTTTATGTATGCTAAACAAAGGTATTCGCTTTGAAGAGCGCCCCCATTAGTCAGATGGTATCTTACCTAACGGCCGGGTGACCAAAAAAAAACCACATCCTGGCTACTAGCTTGCAGCACGGATATTTCTGTCGGCAAACGGAAGCTGAAAATGAATTTCCAAACCCCCCTTCCCCACCTCTATAAAAAGAAAAGAAACACCTTGGCGACTCCCATGGCACGGCAATTAATTTTGTTTGCTCGGTGATTTCTTTCTTAATTATAATTCGAATATTGCAAATACACAAAATTAACCAAAAGCATCAAATCTAAAAATGGACAAGGGCAACCAGGGTTGCCCAACTCTAAAGTCCGACCGGCGAAATTCTTACATAAAATAGTGGCCTATAACTGGACACAGGTTAATGCTAGTTGTGTCTTGGGTGCTGCGAGATGGCTGGACGGGGGGGGGGGGGGGGGGGGGGGGACTTTATTTACATGGACTGTCCAAAACCAACCAAGTCGCATAACATAACAAAGTGATAATGCTGTCATTTTTATTCGATTGTTACCTGTAATGTGAAAGGTGTTTTGCATATTATGACCTGCTGACTATTATGGTACATGTATGTTGCTTCCAAAAATATTACTGTTTTTTTATACCTTTATCTATGTTTAACAAGTTTGTATAGTGTTATCTGTATTGAGAGGAAGATTAGATAACAAGGGTGAAGTGTCTCTGTAATCAAACACGCGCACAGTAGTAATTGTTGACTTGTACGTATGTACGGCATGAACTGCAGTTTGTTCCTCTCCACTGGGCGAATTCTGTGTCATATGCACAACGCAACATTCTAAAAAGGTAAGATTGCTTAGTTGAGGATTTGCCGCTGAAACATTGGAAACTTTTAAATGTCAAATTGAATCCATGCTGACAACCGAACTGATATTAATGTTGACGTAGGCCTACTCACTTACATTGGGATGAACTTTGGAACGGCTAAAAATGAAGTTGCGTACTTGGCATCTTACTAGTCGTCCAACTAATATGCAACATATAAAACAAAATCGGTTGTACTTGGTTTTAGTACGCCACAATGAACGGTTAGGGTTCATGTAGCATCGACACCTTACAAAACTTGTCATTGTCTTTATGTGTATACCATTAGTGTACTTTGTCCTTAGTGAATAAACATAATTAGTTCACACTCTGTACCCCACCATGAACATCATAAACGTTCACATTACAATATTGTTTAATTCATGCTGTACGGGAGTGGTGGGGGTGGTCTATTTTTCACTTCTGATATGTTTTAAACCTTTACCTGTACCTCGGCAATGAAGTACCTCAATTAATTCTTACAAAGTAAATTAAGTTTGAATGCTTGCCAAAAGTGCTGTGTACGAAAGGACGGAGAAAAGGTATGGTTTTCAAATTATGATCCGAAAAATATTTCAAAAGGACCGACGTAACAAAATATGAGTGCATACGACAACGAAATGATTGGATTCTCGAGTGGGTACTGCCATAACCATGAACTTATTATCAAGGTTAACTTATATCGCATACTTTACTTGGGCATACTTCACTTGGACATGAATGTCGTTTCAGGAAGGAAGTGTGAATGTTTCCCCCTGTACCGAATGGGGACTTGCAAGAATATCATCAAGGTGCTGTGGGCGTTTCGAAGCACCGTTCTTCTGGTAGCGATACCACTACTGGCTTCGCCTCTCCTAATTGTTGTTGGAGATAATGTAAGTATTTATAGGGTCCACTCGTCTGACGTCAGGGTTCCACATGACCAGCCAATTTCCTCGTGATCGACAACTATTAGTAGGCAAGTGATTGTTAAACAATCACGTCGTGCATTGGAAACTAGACAGTCTAGGCTTTAATTTCACGTAAAATAGTAACGAATTCTGTATCATATGGCAAAATGGTTACTTTCTTTGTCGTGTCCGGTTGTCATAATCATACCTGACCCAGAAAAGGGGGTGGACTCCGTGTTTTTCTTACAGTTTTTGCCATCTGTTACAGCTTTGAAGGCTTGCCTATACCTACTGCACTTGGCGCTACACAATCTTTGGCCTATTAGTGGCGAAGCTGACTTTCCTGCACCCGGAGGCAGGCCAATCACGTGAGCCAGTGCCATAGCCTATACGACGTAGGGTTGTCACCTGACAATTTCCCCCGACGCTCACACGTCTGAATTGTAGGTCAGGCAGCCTCCGTGGCTAAAAATAAACATGACGACGTTGATGGCCCTTTTTCAAAGCGCGGCTTCGATTCAGAATTCGCTGTATCACATATAACTTGTAATGTTCTGATCATTTTTTTTCTTCAAAACACATTACCCGTTTCATATGTCATACAGTTTGATATTTCTGTAAGAAAACATGCACGAATGTTTATCTGTAATTTTCAAAGTTGGGGACCCAAATATCATCTTAACAGGCAAAGCCAAAATGGAGACCACGCCGAGTTTTGGAAAATCCTGGTATCGGTCGTGCACAACATTGTCATTGAATTTCAACTTTTCTAAATGCAAGCAATTAATATCAATTATCAACTCATGTTTTATGTTTTTAATAAGCAAGGCAGGTAAATAAAACCTAGTTTATACTCGGAAATACCTGGGCGCTATCCAAGATTGTCGACGAAATGAATTCGGCAAACTTCGGACATTTTCGGAAAAGCAGGCATTCCTCCCGTTTTGGTCACGTGCCGTACATTTTTGTATAGATACAAGCGGCTACCTGACCTAAGATTCATCAGAAATAGTCAAAAAATTTTGGTCTGGGAACCAACCTACATGAGTGTAACATCTCGCGGGGTCATCTCAAACAATGTGTCGTCCTCCCTTTTTACTATAGGATTTGCACTGGCGATTTAGGTGACCATTTTTCTAGTTGAAATGTCTTAGACATTTAGAATAAAAAAGACTGGAAAATGGGACAATGCTTCGTGACTGCGGTTATCACTCAGAATGTGACGGATGCCGTTTTATTCTTTTCCAGTGGATGAAAAATTTCTGAAAAAGTGGGCACCGTGCAATTGCTACGTAAGGCCATGTGTGTCTAGACACATCACCCCGGGCAACGAGTGATCTCGGCGGCGTGTGACACAACCACTTTTAATGACCTCGTATTGGCCAGTGACATGTACACTTTTTTGTTTGGTTTGTGCCCTTGTTTACTCTCCTGGCCGCTGGATTCAGTTGTTGGTTGAGTTTGAAGAGCTCAGACGCCCGTGTTGTCTGGCAAACCAGTTGGTTTACAACCCCCTCTTCAAGTACCACTTTGTTTTCTCATAGAGCAAGGAACTCACTTCCCCGGATGGTGAATTTTCTTTTTCCAAACGACATCCGCAAACATGGTTATTTTGCGCCCTCTACGATACTTTTATGATATGTACGCAGGTATATAATTATTTTTTCCCCATATTTTTGCGATCAGTGCGATAGCTCAGTCAATACAGGGTCGAGAATTTGCACCGCCAGGTTGCGGGTTCGAAAAACGGTTTTGCGCCCGATTTGTTTTCTTTTCTAACCTGAGGCTTCGGAGGATTTTTTTTTTCAAAAGAGAAATTAAGTCCGAATTTCAAAACGTTCGAATCCTTTTTTTTTCCTTCTAATTTTATATTTTCTTCTCATGATTTTAGAAAAGTTAAGTCCAAAAACGCCATAGCGTACACCCATATGGGGATGTCGTTTGGGAGAAAAAAAATTCGCCTCCGGCTGATAGTTGGCTTGCTGGTTGGTTAGTTGTTTAGTTTACTGACTAGCTAATTGCTTAGCAGCTTTTGATTTGCTCACTCGGTTAGTTGACTGCCTGTCTGGTTGTCGTCTGATGGTTGACTGGCTGTTTTGGTTGCACGTTGGCTGGCAAATGTCTGACCCGTCGGAAAGTTAGCTCGTTGTCTGGCCTACTGATTGGCCCCAGCGTGACTACACGGACTAACTTGTTGGTCTGATGTCTAGCTGGATATCTTGCCGGACGATTGCTTGACTAACTGGCTGTTTGTACAGGCAGTCTGGGTGACTGAATGGCTGCTTGGCCTGCTGGTTTATAGGCTAGCTGGCTGGTTTATTGCTGGCTCACTGAATAGTAGTTGGGTGGTTGGCTGGTTTGCCGGATGACTGGCTTTGTAGCTGGCTAATTGGTTGGTAATCTCCTATACTCTCTTCCATAGGTAGCCAAATGTGGCTGGGTAGTGATCGTGATGGCAGGCTACTGGACCTGTGAGGTGGTCCCCCTAGCTGTCACGGCCTTCCTTCCCGTCCTGCTCTTCCCGCTTCTTGGAATCCAAGACTCCGATGATGTGTGCCGTAACTACTTGAAGGATACCAATTTCCTTGCCATGGGTGGTCTGATGGTAGCCGTTGCCGTGCAGCATTGGAATCTACACCGGCGCATCGCCTTAGGGGTCTTGCTTCTGGTTGGGACCCAGCCGAGAAGGTATACTTACATAGTTGGGCCTTCTACTCTCCCCGGCCCCCTATCGATTTTGAACCCTCTGACAGTCTTTTTGGGGAGGATGGGGAATTCTGCTCCCGTCCGATATCAAAAATACATAGAACGAATCTTTTGAATTTTAGTATACCAGTAAAAACATTCATATTTTGTACACAAACTTTCACCTCAATCAGACAAACCGTTTTGGTCATTATATTCCCCACTTTGTTTATGCATGAGCGCGATGTTGATTTTTTTTTTGGAAACCCTGGGCGAATATTTTACTTTTACACTTAAGCTTCGTCCGATTTTTACGAAATTTGTGTTAAAACATCCACACGACATCAGTCTAAATCGGTTGGGGTTGGTGGGCGCAGAGGCTGCTACATGGGACTTTTTTTTTTAAACTAAATAATCCTTCTTATGGATGTCTGCCATACACTTTGATGTTCATATAAATAAAGGTTGTTCAGATAGGCAAACCCTGATTTTTCATTCACTAGGACATTTTTTTTGTGCCAATATTTTCCCTACTCACTGACCAGAATTCGAAAATGTTTTATCTTACATAATGCAAAGCCTCAGTTTGGTGGACAACGGTTTGGATTACGAACGATGATATTATTTCAAGTTCATTTCAAAATCATTTGCATTCCAGCACTGGTCATATTATTTGAATACATTCTCCATGTTCCACTTGGAACGGTTAATTTGATTCAGACATGATATACTCAACCCGATTCTTTGGCGTGCGGATTAATGTTCTGCAGTGGCGTAGCCACGGGGGGGGGGGGGGGGGGGGCGACAGCCCCCCATGAAACCTTGCCGCCCACCAGTCGGCCCCCCCCCCCACCCACTGAGATTTTTAGTTTCTAAATAAATTTATCATTGATCTACATGACGCCCCCCCCCCCATGAAATGTTCCAGCCCCCTAGCCCCCCCCCCCACACTGAAAAATTCCTGGCTACGCCACTGATGTTCTGTGTTCATACTAACAGGTTGATGTTGGGTTTCATGAGTGTGACTGCTTTCCTATCCATGTGGATCAGCAATACCGCCACCACGGCCATGATGGTGCCAATTGTTCACTCGGTGTTGGCGCAGATGGTCAAGGCAGATGTAAGTTCACACTATGCTTATAGATTGACATGGATTTTCATGGGATATGGATTTGTGGAAGAATAAACAACCTTGCATCGAGTTTTGTAACAAATAAAGCATATCTCTCTAAAGTGCCTGTTTAACTGGGGAAATAAGTATGAATGCAAAAAAAAGAAAAAGCCGCCGTGGGCATCGATAATTCTGTTTTAAGCATGCAGTGCATCACAGAGAAAAATTCAGAACCGTTTATAAACATTTTCATTTTGCATCAGGCAAAAATGCCTCCGTAGTTGTTAAATTTATGTGTACTTTGCATGATTCCATTTTTTTCTGTAAATAACACAGGTTTTATTTTAAGAGGCTACCGACGGCATTTATTTGTGTATAGTACAGCGCGATTGATTATCCAGGGAAAAGATGTACTGAGCTGCAAGACTACAGTGATTTAGAGAAATAGCCTTCTCGAGGCAAAACCTACAATCCTGGCCAAATCTCGCTGGGCCCCAACCCCCCGGCCCCCACTCAATGGTATCTCTCATTGCGCGGTGTGGGCTCCATCAGCTGGAGAGAACAACATTGACCGGGGGAGCGGGGAAGTGGGTGACCGTGGCAGGCTCAGGAAGTGTCCCAACCGTTTTGGACGGGATTGTAGGTGGCGCACTGTATTAAGAATTCCTCAAATGTATGCGTTTTGATGTACATGATGATTAGTGCAATAGCTGTTAAATTCAAAGTGGTTCACAAACGGTGAAAGGTGAGGAAAGTACCATTACGCCGACCTGACTCCTCATTCCAATGATAAATATATGAGACAAAACGTGCGGAGGTAAATGTAGGCCTAAGCAAAATTTGGTAAAGCCCCACAAACAAAGCATTACATTTTCTTATATATATTTTCAAGCAGAAAGAAGATGACACCAAGAAGAATATTGACGCAGCCTCTGTAAGATGTGACGGCTCCGAGCTATTGGAAATGGAAAAAGGAACTCAGACACCAGGAGACGACACGATGTTACATTATGCGACAACCTCCGACGAAATGGCAAACATAGGGTGCCTAAGATTTATTTTTCTTTCAGAATGTCAACATTGAAGAATAATCTGCAAAATGAAATAGTTGTCTCGATTTTTAGTTATCTTTTGTCAGAAGTTGTAAACATCAACTAGACATTTGGTACTTCTGGTAATAATACAAAGTCTTCTCTGACAAAGAAGAACGTCAGCATCCTGAGTTGAATTCATTGAAGTCTTTATCAATTTGATGTACATCAAAACCAAAACAGTTTTCGATGATGAACACTTTGGTATATACTGGGGCCTTTGTACTTGCGAATGCTAGTTTTTTAAAGATATGAAGCCACCAATCAAAAGGTCGAAGACACTGAGGGTTGCCGCAATTGGCCTAGAGAAGGGGGAAAAAGAAGAAAAAAAGCTGTTGACTTTTGGTTTGAACTGAGAAGAAAAGGGGAAAGCAGGATTTTAGGTAGAACTTCCCTTAAGTGAGGGACTCGAAGGAGGCAACATGGAGAATATCCTCCACCCTATCACATCCATTGTAATTAGGGCCTACATATCATGCTTCTAGAGGTCGGAGGTCGAAAGTAAGCTTCGGCCTATGTCTTTGTACAACGGAATATCATTTTATTTAACACAGAGAAACGGATCTGGATAAACACCAGGATGAAAAGGCGATTTTGGAAGAGGCATACAACACAACTGGTTCTCCGGATGATGTCGCATCTAAGCCGCAAGGAGACAATGAAACGGGCAATGAAATCGACTTCGCTTCGCTGCCACCAGCGGAGAATCGGATGTGCAAAGGCATGATGCTGTGCGTCTCCAGCGCGGCATCCTTCGGTGGTACGGCAACACTGACTGGCACGGGGACCAACTTGGTTCTGAACGAAGTCGTACATGAGTACGTGTGCATGCTTAAACCTAAAATGTATAGAAAAAATAAGGCGTTATTTTTACAGGGTGTCTATCTGCGGATGTTTACACCATCTTCAATGTAATAGATTTAGCTTGAGAATACCGTTTGTTTCATTGAGATAGCTTTTGTAAATCCAAAGATATGTTTGAATAACGGCAAAGCCAAGAAACCCATTTTGTGCCACTTTCTGTGAAGCAGTTAAAATCAGTATAAGTCTTAGTTTAAAACCAAATCATTTTACTGTTAGTGATTTTCACATTTTTGAACTCTTTCATTGAAGTTTAAAGAAGTGAACCTGTCTGTACTGTTAAATTGTTTCAACATAAGAACAAAACCCTACATTGTCGTGTGAATGGAATGTTTGTCTTACACCCATATAGATAATCTTATCAAAAGAGTCATACTGGCATTGTCTGATCTTTGAAGCTAGCACTCGCTTCCAAAAAGTGGCAGAGAATGTTTTTTTTTTGGCTTTGCGGTTATTCAAACATATCTCTGGATTTACAACAGTATTCTCAAGCTTAATCTGTAACCTTTGATTTCGTGTAACTATTCGAGTAAATTCCGGTTGTAAATTGGCAAAAATGGCGGAGTTTACATGCACCATTATTTTCAGGACACCCTGTGGAACCTTTGGAACGCGTTGATAAAGTGCAACAACAAACATGAGACGAAAGACAAAAAGGACGAGAATGATACATCTGGTGATTCAAAAATCTATACCATCGTAACGAATGTTTAAAAGCGCATTGATTTCCAGAGTGGAAATCGTATATTTCGCGGGAGCTTATTTCAGAAACAAACATACATTTTTATTTCCAAGTTTTATTCGAAAACTTAGCGGTACTTTGTTTACGAGTTGAGCCTGAGGGTTGTGGGCCTTATTCACGAGTCGGCCATATTGAATTTAAAGTGAGGTAAACTCTTTATTTTTTGGAACTTGCGAAGAGAAGTGAAAGCAATGACATAAAGAGAATTACCCATTACACCAGTCTGCTCTAATGAATAATTTTAAATTTGCGATTAAACATACCCTAATGTTTTAAGCCACACAAAAAAAGGACAGTGAAGCTACAGTGTGTAAACAGTCTGGCACCATTCCATTCAACAGTTCACATTCAATTAAATACATTCAGCGAATAGGATTTCAGCCTTTGCATGGCGGAGTCTCAGTATCGTTTCGGTTTGCGGTAACACTGTTGTGTTCTCCTGATGATGACTCGAGCAGGCTAGGCTAGTCGAAACGTTGAGATCAAAGACAAGTTCTTTTGGAACCTAAAGCAGGACTGATCTTATCAGAACTCAAAGTTGATGACAAGCTGGACAAGTTCTTATCAGAATAAATATTTTACTGAGCGACAATAGTTATTACATGATGTTACCGCAAACCGAAACGATTCATTACAAAAACTGAAGTATTAATTTAACACCATTTGGTATCTATATAGGACAACACCAGTAGAATTTAACACCAGATGGTCCTATACAGATACCAACAGTGTAAATTTAACACTGCAGGTTTTGCAGTGTACACAATGGCTTTCTCGTGAATGAGGTCGATAATGTTCAACCGTTACAACCTCTGCACGAATGAAAGGTATTCTTCAGTTGGGTCTTTATACACTCAATTTTAAACTCAGAGACTTTATCTAAGCACACATCTTCAATACATTGGTACAACCTTTCCGTACAGAATGACCTTAAGACCTTAAGCACACAACTTGTATACATTGGTACAACCTTTCGTTAAAGAATGAGAAAGTTACTCAATTTGTTTGCCCTTTTGTAGTTTGTACGGGGATGCCCCTGGTATCAACTTTGCTGCATGGATAGTCTTCGCTTTGCCGGCAATGGTCCTCAGCGTGTTCTTCGCTTGGCTCTGGCTACAGTTCTTCTTTGTGGACAGAAGGTATACAATGATTTCATCGGTACCTCCTGTATTGCCGGCGAGCTTCAACTTTCGTAAAGTATTGAAACTGCATCAGGACGCAACTTTCTTCGTTTAATACATTAAGTCAAAGCCTTCTGCTTGATTTTAACCCACACGGGTAGCCTACTCGAAGTTTTACACAAGATCTGAAAAAGAAAGAAGAGAATGTTATGCACAAAAGGAGTATGAATCAAGTACCGAGAGAGCCAGTCGAAACTTCTCTTTCACCTGTAATCCCCCAACCATGGGCGTCGCGAGGGGGGGGGCAAGGGGGGGGCACTTGCCCCCCCTGGAAAAGCCAAAAAAAAAAAAAAAAAAAGGAAGAAAAAGAAAAGAAAAGAAAAAAAAAAAAAGAGGCGCGAAGACAAAGTGGTGTAAATTTAATGAGTTGGGGGGGGGGCAAAATGTCCCTGCCCCCCTCTAAAACTGATAAATTGAGAATGTGTTGAGAAATACAAGCATTTTTTGGCAAAATTTTTTTTGCCCCCCTCTAGAAAAAATCCTGGCGACGCCCATGCCCCCAACAAGGCGGTCCATCAAACTCGTCTGTTAATGGCGCTATTACAATTTACCATGAACACATCAAAGAATTGACTTAATACCTTTTCTCCCTAGCTTGCTCGGCTGCTGTCGGGAATTTGGCGCCTGCTGCTCGTGCAGTGAGCAAGATAAATCGAAGGGCGCCAAAATACGGGAGGTGATAAAAAGACAATACGATGCTCTTGGAACCATGTCGTAAGTTTGCATTTGTTATATTTTTTTATGTTACTTCTTATAATTTCTACAACTGTTGCAATCTGTGTTTAGTTATCTGATCATTCTTTAATCGGGTTAGGTTGCTTTTGTACTTGTTACCTGATTCCTCATAAAGTGTCATCAGAAATTGTGATTGAGTATTTTTTCTGTGCTAACAAAATTTATACCAACATAAACTGTCTTTTTATTGGTTTCCGACAAAATTATAGTTACAAAGAAAGGGTTATGGTAACTTGGACACAATTTTGTATCAGCGAAATAGTCGAGAAAATTGAAGAAACCGTCCGCCATCTTGGGGGAACAAGCACCCGCCTCCACCATTTGTTCAAAGACTAGACGACAAACCATTATTTTTTTTAATCGGCCTTATAAGAGCTGTGTCTAACAAAAATGAATGGAAAACTGTAGTTGTACCTGCAGTTCCCGCTTTTGTTTCATTACTAAATTAAATACCGATTCGGGCGATTCACAATGCAGTGCGCCACCAAGAGGTTACCATGGAGAGTCCATTTTTCGAGTTTACGGTCGACAAAACATGGTTCATTTGATTGAGTGTCAGTAGACAACTTGATCTAATACAATGTATGATATGAATTGGAGCCTAGCGTTCTGCCGCCTTACAAAAAACACCATACTGATAATAATCAAAGAAAAGGGCAAACAGATCCTCGAATCATACGCTTACGAAACTACTAAATTGGAAAAACTAACAATTTCAAATGTCCTGCGCTGCGAATTTGTCGACCATCTCCCACAATGCACTGGGAAAAATGAACTCTCCGAGGCAAACTCTTGGTGACGCACTGCATTGTGAATCGCCCGAATTGTCGACAAGAAAGAAGGAAAGAAATTCGAATTGACTGGATTTTTTCCCCCAAGTTGAGTACTTTGGTTACCCGAAACAAACGGTACAGCCTGGTCCTTCTTCTCTTTCTGTATTGACAACAGGTGGGCAGAGGTCTGGGTGCTTCTCCATTTCATAGCCTTGGCCCTTCTGTGGTTCACTAAGGACCTTGCATTTATTCCCGATGCTACTGGATGGGCGGGGCTGTTTCCAGTTTCAAAGTGAGTAGAACTTGAGAATAAGAGTGGAATGAGGTGGGGCATGGTCCCCAAAAAGTTGTCATCAGATGATTTTGTGCAGAAAAAGTTACTCGTATGGTAACCTGTCTTAAAATTCTTTTTAAAAAGAGCATCATATTTCATGTCTCACTACTAAAATACTCTATCCTGTATTTCAATTCGCCTCACATTCTAAACAAAATTGCTTTTTAAGTGTCGTGAAGTGGTCATGAATCACAAACATATTCACGTTGAACCTTCAAAGGAATTTCAAGTACCATTCACCTAATATAACGATAGTCACTGATTATCCCTCTCACTCCCATGGGCTCCTTTGGGCACCAAAAGTCGAACGCCACTTCTTCCTTTTGGCACCAAGCCATTCTGCACTTTGCGAAAATGTAAATAGCGCCCCCTCTCGACGAAATGTCTCTCATTATGCGTTGTGTATCTCACCCCATGGTTGAAGCATATCAAGCAGACTACCGTGACTCAATTATGTGAATATAAACATTATACCTCCCCCCCCCAATGCAATGTTGCTAGGGGAATTGGCCAGTTTGCCTGCATGCCCGATTTCCAACAACATTTCACATTTGCTGGGCAAGCCATGGGCTCTGTCCGCCATGCATGAGGTACGAGGGCGCTACACAATTATTTTTTTCGAAATGCTCCTGGTAATCGAGACTCGTGGGTACTTTATTCTCCTGGGAGCCAAAGGTTTATACTGAGCTTTTACATCAATTTGTTATGAGCCGTGTTTGAGACAGCGTTACTGTCAATAAACACACGTAAAAAGACGCTATTGCCAGACAAACCCGATTCGGGACATGGCCTTATATTCTCCGGCTTCAGGAGACTCCCTCTCTAGTGGGCCCATATGTTTTACTTTCTGAACATCGAATATTATAATGTTTAACCAAATGTTAGAGTTCTATTTGGTTTGGACGTGGATGGCTTCTCAATGATCCTGCAACCATATAAAGCCAAGGGTGAAGCTTAGACGACACCGGGCTTTGGGAAACCCTAATCAGTCAATATAGTTTTGTCTGTTTTCCTTCTAGATTTGTGACGGATGCGACTGCAGTCATATACATTTGCTTTTCTCTGTTTGTTTTCCCATCCAAGCTACCAAATATATTCTGCTGGAGGGGTAAGTCTCCGAACATAAGTCCTCTGCAATCAGAAATCGTTCTACAGTTAAACTCTTGTTTTTCAATCAGGGCTGTGGTTTTTAATCATCTGGTTACCTGAAAATTCCTTCGCTTTAAGGTCAAAAGCTAGATTTTAAGTTAAATCTGCAACACCCCTACGCAAAATGTCATCATCAGTCCTTAATACATGGTCAACAAACGTTGTAGATATTGATAATATTTACATCGCAACGCTAATCCAGTATGCAATAACGTTAAAAAGGTTTCGTCCTCATGTTTTATCTTTGAGACATTTGAGTTGAGGTAACAGGTGTTCTGTCGATCTGTAAATATTAAAAGCTTTTCGTGGGTTTATGTGCAAGATTTGTGTTCAGCAAATTGTTCCACGATGCACTGAATTAAAGGCTAAACTTTAAAGGGGTCTGCTCAACCGTCAGGGATTTGAAATATTTTGTGCACTATAATGACGATTGTTTAGTAGAAATGATCCTATTGCGAGGCTTCAGGTCATATTAGGTGATTTTCAACAAAATGCAGAGCATGCTGAAGCTTCGCCTTGCAGATTGAAGTAAATTTGGTCAACAATGAATCGAATATCCTCAGAAATTAAATAATAATCAATTTTTGTCTTCAACCTGGTACCTTAATGAGTGTTATCTCATGTGAAACGACCGCAAGCAACCTCGGCAGATGTACAAAGCATTTCATTGTTTTGAAACATATAATTTGTTTACTGGAAAGGGAGTAATTAGGCTATACCTTTTGTTATCCTGAAGACAATACCAAGCTCGGACCACGTACGCCACTGCTAACCTGGTCCGCCGTGCAGAAGAAGCTGCCGTGGAACGTAGTGCTCCTCCTTGGTGGTGGCTTTGCCCTGGCAGACGGATGTAAGGTAAGATGCGAACAGCGACAATTCGGGAGATTCACAATGCAGTGCGACACCAAGAGTTTGCCAGGGAGAGTTCATTTTTCCCAGTGCATTGTGGGAGATGATCGACAAATTCTCAGCGCGGGATTTTGAAATTGTTAGGTTTTTTTCTGGTCAGTAGTTGCGTAAGCGTATGAGTAGAGGATCTGATTGCCCTTTTCTTTGACTTTTATCAATATGTTTTGTAAGGTGGCAGAACGCTATGCCCCAATCTACAACGTATTAACTCAAGTTGTCTACTGACATTCATTCAAATTGGCCATGCATGTTTTGTCCACCGTAAGCTTGAAAATGGACTCTCCATGGCAAAGTCTTGGTGGCGCACTGAATTGTGAATCGCCCCGATTAAGGAGTCTTACTGCATCTCATCCTTTAAGACGAATTTCAAACAAGCATTAAAACCTAGGGCCAGCTCGGTGTTCTCTAAGTGGTGAAGATTTAAAAAGAAAAATATCCCAGATGTCTGTACAATAGCTGAAGACGATGCATGCATGGGCTTGGCTGATTCTTCAAAGTTCGTTTATATATGCCTGTAGTGTTCACAACATCTTACACCTTGTTGCGCATGCGCTATAAATGGTTTGTATGCTTCCTCTATTATGTGTTAGCTTTATGAATTAGCTATTATTTAATTAGATAATATTTTTATGACATGAACCCTTAACATTTCAAAACGAAACTTAGATCTCAACCAGTAAAGCCTACAAACAGTAGACCTCAGACATAACGACGTCACGCTTTGTTTACACGTGCTCTTCCCTATGGGGGTCAGCGCTATTCCATTATCTTCGTAATTAAATATACTTTGTTATTCTCATGTAGTGTATCATCAGCTTACTTTAGCATTTCCTTCATTCTGGAATAAATGCCAAAGTATCCATCTTACAACTGTTGTCTTCTCTATTTAAAGAGAGTATTATCACCTATTTAGTTACATAGAGTCGGGATCAAGTCTCTATCTTTAATCACTGGAGACATTAATTGTGTGCACAAGTGACATTTTGTTTTCTGAGAAATTTTCTTTTAAAGGCGTTTTTTTTTTACTCAACTTTGAAACATGTTGCATCCTTGGTCATCTGCCCCTTCCTCCTTCTCTGCAGGTGTCTGGATTGTCTCAGTGGCTGGCAGACCAGTTCAGGGTCCTCCAAGGTATCCCCGCGCCAGTCCTTGTCCTCATCATCACAATCATCATCTGTCTCTTCACGGAGGTTACCAGTAACGTTGCCACGGCAACCATCTTCCTGCCCGTCCTTGCAACCTTGGTATGTAAAAAATAAAGGGGTTTCCAAACTACGGCTTCTTTCCGGAGGCGGCTTCATCTCCTTGTTTTCACACATCTCGCCGCCTCACTCAGTGGCGCTGGTGACCTTAAGTTGCTGCAGTGTAAAAACTGTGTTTACAGTTTAAACACGTGTCTAAAAATGTAATTGTTCCCACTTTTTTCACTTTGAAACCATATATATAGGCGTAGCCAGATCACGTAAACGAGGCATGACAAACTTTATGGAGCGATTCTTATTAGTTTTGTGCAAGAGGGTGAGATTTAAACGCCACACGAAATACTCACTTTCAGAACCTGCCACTTTCGACTTGAGGTCCTCCAATGACGATAAAACGCTGGAGACGGGGCTTAAGCCACGTGCTGCGACCGGAAGCTTCTGCAAAAAATACAGGACCACCCCTGATGTCATTGCACACCTCCTCGATCGTCCTCGATCATTTTAAAGGACATCAGGAGTGATCCTGCATTCATCAAGAAGCTTCAAACTTCAGAACGTGGCTTCAGCCCCGTCCTCCAGCGCTGTATCGACATTGGAGGACGTCAAGTCGAAAGTGGCAAATTTTGAAAGCGAGTACTTTCGTATGGCGTTTAAGTCGCACCCTCTGGCACAGAACTGATGAAACTCGCTCCATAAAATTTGCCGTGCCTTGTTTATATGATCTTAACTTTTGGTTTAATTCCATTTGAAAACAACAACAAAAACTTCACACAATACAGAAAAAAAGTTTTGGCTTATCAATTCTGTAATTGAATTTGAAATTTTCTTCATAAATTACGAGTATTCTGTACATCCCCCAGGGGGACTTTTTTTGGGGACACTCTGTATTTGCTGTCATCTTGTAAAAAACAAAACCTGTTTTATAAAATACAGTTTTGCCTATAAACCTATGAAAACCTAACTGAACACCTTTCACTTACTAATGGCGAACAAAGTGCCGTTATTTATTAGATATGTTGCCAAAACACCGGTTGTACTTCATGGCCGCATATCTTGCTCGACGTTGTAAGCAAAAAGAAAACTCTGACGAAGCCGACGCCGGACATGAAGCCACGTTTTGACAAATTCCTTTTACATGAGCGCGTCATCTTCCGGTTCATTTACTTGCAGTGCTTATAACGAACATCTGTCAGTCCGAACGCATGTTGCGTACAGCGGCGTTTAATCGACAACGGTCAATTAAACGTCAATCGTACTGGAGTGTCAGACGATCGATCAAAAGCTTGGCGATCGTCCTCGATTCTGTTATTAGTTTTGTTCCCGTACATTTCTCCTCATCTTTAAACATACTGGCATATTTTATTTCCAAATAACGACACTTCAACAACGACCCTTCAAACACATTTAATGTTCTGAAAAATCCGCACCAGTTTCTGGAAGTGCTAGGCGAAGAATCGTACTCATCACTAAATATTTCATAATCAATAATAGTTCCCCGGCAAAATGTTACGTAATGCATGTCAGGTGCTTTAGATTGGATTTAAGATAATATTTCGCAGACCACGTTAATTCTCAAAGCACTGTTATGTCCTTCGCATCTTCCTTACGTTAGGTTCTAAGTGCCGATATAGTGCATCTTTTTATGAAGTTTCAGCTATAGAAATCAAAATATTACAGCATCAAATAGGTTTAAAAGCACTGGGTATTTTTTGTTATTTGAGAATTATAACGGTGGTCGCGTGTAGAACGCCATGGTCCAGTGGTTACGGTGTTTGAGTCATTAACGAAGGTGCGTGGGTTCGAACCGTACCGGGAACATGGTGTTTGTGCCCTTTGGTAAGGCACTTAACTACAATTGCCTCTCTCCACCCAGGAGTATAAATGGGTACCGTACCCGTGAGGGTCGAGGACCGATTGAGCACGGATATCGGCTGCCGCGTGGTCCCATGGCCTGATGAACGGGGTAATAATTGTAAAGCGCTTTGAGATCGCTGATACGATGGAAAGCGCTATATAAGCATAATTATTATAATTATGTATATCGATCGTTTTTATTCTCGTACTAACACTAATTCTCTCACCATCTCATGAAAATTTCAAAAGTACACGAGTAACACATTAAATATGGTTGCCGTGCTATATTTTAGTTTCACTGCGAAAAAAATTAGATTTGTTTGTTCAATTGCTATTTTCCAAGCAATGTAATAGTTCTTTACTATTAAGACATCGAACAGAAAACTCCACAGACATTTGGTTATTGTGTTATTTCTTTACAAAATTTGAATTATCATCTGCCATTCAATAATTCGGCTCCCGCAGGGCAAAATGAAAGCCGTTATTTCGGAGGAGTGCGGACGCCCAAAATCAAAACATACTAGATTCAAACAGAATTTAGAAATTAAAAATTCGTTTGGAAAAAAAAAATCCTTTTTTTTAGGAACACGGGTACGCAACTTTTAGTTGAAAATGTTGAGAGAGTTCCATAGGTGTTCTTGCCAAGTTAGTTTCTGAAACACCACACTTAGTTGATTGCGCGTACGAAATATGACGCGCTTGGTGCATTGCGAAATATTTGTCTCAAATATAAGCGACAAACAAAAAGGATTCCGATTATTGCGTTACCATGGTTACTTGTCCACGGATACACCAGGTAAATTACCAAAAATATACGATGACATCCATTTGTTAATAAAGGGTGATAATTTATGGACACATTGTCATGGTTACCTGTGCGTAGAAACGCCACTACAATATCGCAATTTCGAGTACACGCGAAGCGTTTTGAATATATATTTGCGACAGGTGTCTATTTTTCTAACTGAAGAATTTAGGCATTCCCTGAAAATATTTGACTATGGGGCAAAAATGCTTTCCAACGAAAAACAGCGAGACTGTATCGCCAAATAGGTTAATCAATATAAATAAAAAAAAATAAAAAAATTTGACATCCTTTTATCGGCTAGGGCATGGTGTTATTACTTGCTACAAAATACAGTGTGTATAAAAAAAAAAAATGCAAACAAAATATCACTGAATGCCAGACGTATAAAGTGTACCAACATAGATAATATAGGTATGGTTTAATACGCCTTTTCTCTTTAAATCAAATAATTCTTGATAGAGTCAATTCTAAACACTGTCCTGCTATAAGTTTGTAAACATGTTTACATGCTAAACATTTTTAGCATATAAGTGATAACAAGAAAGTGTTAAGAATCGTGTTTACAGGCTAAACACATTTTTTTTTTGTAGGCCAGGCAAATATCCACACATAGGCAATTAGGCTACCTTTGTCCCGATGCCTAACATTGAAAACTTGCTCCCATGGTCAATTTGACGTGATTGTGCCATGTAATTTTTGGAAGAAGAGTGTTTTTGGTAAAACAAAATAAGCTTTTCGACCCAAGTGACCCCATGATGACCCTTGACCCCAGTTTGGTCATGTGACATGTTGGGGCTGGGCTACTGATACTTTTGACAAAGTTTTGTTGAAATCGGTCCAAATATGTAGGAGCAATAGACAATGTGAAGGTGTATTACTAACTTCCTTCCTTCCTTCCTTCCTTCCTTCCTTCCTTCCTTCCTTCCTTCCTTACTTCCTTCCTTCCTTCCTTCCTTCCTTCCTTCCTTCCTTCCTTCCTTCCTTCCTTCCTTCCTTCCTTCCTTCCTTCCTTCCTTCCTTCCTTCCTTCCTTCCTTCCTTCCTTCCTTCCTTCCTTCCTTCCTTCCTTCCTTCCTTCCTTCCCAACTAACTAACTAACTAACTAACTAACTAACTAACTAACTAACTAACTAACTAACTAACTAACTAACTAACTAACTAACTAACTAACTAACTAACTAACTAACTAACTAACCAACTCCCCAACTCCCCAACTAAATAACTAACTAACTAACTAACTAACTATTACACGGAGATACATGATGATTTGTTGAGCTGCTATCCTGCAGCTAAAAATTCACGTAATTGCTTTCGTCTTCTTTATTCGGAACAATATTTGTCATTCACAGGCTGAGAGCATCTGTGTGAATCCACTATACATCATGATCCCTGCTGCCTTGGCCTGCTCCTATGCTTTTATGCTACCTGTGGCAACACCGCCCAACGCTATCGTGTTTTCCTACGGCACGGTCACCGTGTCTGATATGGTGAGTGCTTTCCTCTGCAACCAACTTTAGTCACCTACCATAATGTGGGTGTATATGGGGGGGGGGGGGGGGGTTGTAGGGTACCGGAACAATGGGAGGTACCCCCCCCCACAAGGCCATTTTTTGACCTTGTGGGGTACTAAAGTGGTACCCCACAAGTTTTTCATGGAATAGATATATGGATTTTACTCAAAAACTAGGAATTTCCAAGGTGGGTTGATCTGTCGCATATGGAAGAGTTTAGAGAAGGGATATGAAGTCCGAATTTCAGCCAAGGAAAATAATTCTTGTTAAAATAAGAACATTTTGAAATAAGAGTGAGACATTGCAAAATATAAGTACACGAGAACAAAGGAAATACCCCACTTGTATGCCTGTGTGAGGGTCTTGCGTCTGCGTGGAACATATCACGTGATTGAAATAATGTCACGAGATTTAAGATGACTTCATCAGGTTTTAATTTCATGCGATGATTGAAGCAATTCGGAGACTCGTAGTTCAGTCTGATGGTGTTCTTGGTTTAAAACAAAAGTAAGCTCGAAAAGATCTCGGAAGCTGCGGTCCAACTGTAGACCTGCCGTAGCCTATAATGTTAGTCATGTACATGATGTAAAGTCTGTTCTTTATATTGCACAACTACTCACGTGGTCGTGACTGTCAATTGAAAAGGATTCCCATTCGTTTGTTGAACGTCAGTTGGTGCATGGATCGTTTTATAGCATGTGAAACACCAAATTTGTGTGCAGTATAGCCCCAATGCGAAATGAGTGACCTCGTGACCATTGTCCACGAATACAATAACTTGGTAGCTGGTACTGGTCAGTGGAGACCTGAAGTACGTGTTGTTGCGAGGGCCCAAAGGACAAGGAGATTGATTGTCAAAAAAGGCATGTGCTGACATTTGTCACTAACCAATCAACCAACCAACCAACCAACCAACCAACCAACCAACCAACGAAGAGACATGATGATTTCTTGAGCTGCTTTCCGCAGCTAAAACGTTGTAGATTCCACCTCATCTTCTCCTTTCTCTCCAAATCGTTTTTTTTCATTATCGTGTATGATAAAGTCCTGAAATGTTCACCTTTTCTCCTAAAACCATTTTGTTAACAACTGAAACATGTATGCGCAATGTGGGCAATGACTAGACTTTATTGCAGAACAAGTCACTGCATGGCGGACGGTCGTACACCGATAGAAGGCTCCATATGTATCTTGCCGCTTGATAAATAGTCGCAACTAGTTTTCATTAAAGCTATAGTCCATCATTTGTAATTAGTGCATTTTGTTCGTTTGAAGCAACACAAGTGTTCAAAATCTAATGAAGGATACTGAACAACTTACTTGATGAAGTTTCAGCTCAGCTTCAGCTTCATATTCCGAGAAAAACAGCATTCTAGGATCTAAATTTAAAATCAAAAGTTGCTAAATCATGTTTCGAATTGTTTTGAATTGCAGCTTTACGCGATGTTGCGCACTGATCCAACGAATTATAGCAACTGCGGGCGCCTGTGCGTCGTGCCAATGCTTGTGCGCGCTGCGCCGAATAACAAAACGAACAACTAATTTAAATTTTCCTACGGTGCTTCTTAAGAAGCACCGTTGGAAATGCCTTCTTTCGTTGATTTCTTCAAAATGAGAGCTTGCCAGAAAGGATAATTTCACAGGGAGTTTAGCCCCCTTACTATCTTTCAACCAGTATGTTTTTCAACAACAATTACGCCGGTTACTTTTTTGGATAGCTGCAAATGATGGACTCGGGCTTTAATTGTCCCCAGTATTTCTCGAAATATATACATTGTATATTATCATGTACTATAATTTTACGAAGTTTTGATCACAACCATGCACGAGGATTCTGCCGAGCGGTGTGAACTCACAAAATGTAATATACATGTATAAATCTTGTAATCGAGTTGCAATTTTCATTGCAGCCTACAGGCCTATAGTTACTTAATAGACCATGTCTCTGGTGAGGTGATACTATCCTCAGGGAAGTTTACGCCACTGGTTGACGCGATACCAAAGTAGGAATATGAGTGTTTGGCCACACAAACCAACACTGTTAATGCGAGACATGTTCCAAATAGTATCTTTGTACAAAAGGACTCGAGTCCGAATACTGGAACAAAATAATTATACTTCGTATAGGCCCTAAAGATAGTTTTGTCCCATACTTTGCGAATATTTTGAATGGGAACATTGTCTCATCAATTTGGAGTCCGTACCTTTCATTGCAGTAATGATTCTTTTACAATTACACATGTGTTTGCTTTTTGAAATTTTCGTTTGTATTATAAATAAAATCCTAGAATCATTCACACTATATTAACTAATGCACCCTTGTCACGGCTATTTCTTCTTTTTAGGGGGAGACCGTTCGCATGTACATCACAATCCTTCTTTTTGCTAATGCAATTTTTTTTACGGAATTTATTTTGGGGGGCTAGACAAAATTTTTGGGGGGCTACAGCCCCCCCTAGCCCCCCCCCCCCCCCCCGTAGAACCGCGCCTGGTTGTAGGGTACCGGAACAATGACCTTGTGGGGTACTAAAGTGGTACCCCACAAGTTTTTCACGGAATAGATATATGGATTTTACTCAAAAACCAGGACTTCCAAGGTGGGTTGATCCGTCGCAATTTTAGCGCTGCTTAAAGTGAAGATACAACGTTTGCAAACATCACAAAACGAAGTAAACATATTATCACGAAATACCTCACTGGATTGTTAGGGAATGACAGTCTAAAGCATCCTGTAAAATCGTGGCTCCTGGTGTGCTGACATTTTCAAGAAAAATGGTATTTTTCCAACGCTGGTCGGCCGACCAGCGTTGGAGAAAACTGGCTTTTTTTCAAAAACAACTCCTAATATTTCTTAATTAGTTATTCCGTATTTTCTTTGCAACTGATTACACACTTGTGAAGGGGTACCGGCCTGCTAGACTGATTCTCTGACCTTACAATTCCCCAAAGTCTATAAATTGTTCCGTTTCATCTTAAGTGGGGTCAGGGAACCAGACTATAAGAACATGATTGGTTTTCTTAGTTTTTCCAGCACCTACTAGTCGAAAACGTGAAATAAGTCATTTTAACAATATTTGCTATATGTTACTGATCCTCCAAATTCATTTATTTCTGAAAATTGCAGCAACAGCAAATGTTGTACATTCCCTTTAAAGATAATGCACTGTTTACTCAAACAGAAAGAATGATCGCGAGTATCCTATTCATTATCAAAACTCAGAACACATCATTTACTGTCTTAGGCTAATTTGCCATTAAACCGCTTTATATATTTCACGGAATCAGAAATTACTCGATCACAGAACTACCTCATGATAAATAATGTTAATGTCTTATTTTGTTCTTGTATATCTATACGTTTTTCTTTATTCTTCTATACCTCAGGCCAAAGCCGGAGTAGTGATGAACATCATCGGGCTGATTATGGCCAACGCTTTGATTAATTCTCTGGCTATACCCATGTTCGACGTCTTCAGCTACCCCTCCTGGGCGGACAACTCGACCTGTGTGGCCTAGCCACAGCTGATATTTCTTTCCTAGCTGCGATGGCTAAGGAAACAACAGTGGGCGCTACGCAAATGACGTAACCCTTCTGCTTATGAAATTTAATCATTTATATAATATCCAAGATTTGCTGTCTAATGATATTCCTGTATTCCTGGGATAATGTGACCTCATACACCTATCTCGAATCGACTTCGACTTCATAGGATTGCATTTTTGATTTTCATTGATTTTGTGCTGTTTTCTCTTAAAAAAAGTTATATATTAATATATTCGAGGCTTTCGAAGGTGGCAAATTTGCGCCCTCTCTGTTCGCGCACGAAGCCGATAGAGGTGCTTCCGCTCCTCAGCATCAACTTAAACCACAATATTGAGAGATGATTGATTTAAATCCACGTGATACGTAAAATCCCTCCGAGTTCGCTGTACAGTTAATTGATTCGTTATTCCAGCATAACCCGCCCTTCTAAAGAGGCATGATAATGTTGCCATGGTGATCGAATAGAATTATGTTTGTTTCCAATCCGTTGTAAGCTAATGATCAAAATAATGCAATAATAGAAATACTTTTTTTCCTTGCGCACACGTAAAAGAACATTTTAATTCACCAGCCGCACCAACAAGGAAAAGAAACTAGTAAAACAACGGAATAAATCAGACTGCATTGCTCGTTGTACATTTCAACAGTTTTTTTCCTTCAAGAACTGAGAAAACTCGTGTTTAAGTAGGAGTTGACATGACAGAGAGTACATGTACTTTAAATATTAAAGGTAATACATTGAACCTGCACTTTGTCTCATTTTTTTTTCAAGCGCCGACTGGTCAACATGACATTGATTCACAGGATGTTTCATACTATTGTTTACTTGAAATCAAATGGGCTTTTTCATAATACTTTGGCAGATTTGTTTTTTGAGTGTTTGCAAATTATCCTATGGGCTCCGTGCGCAAACAAAGAGGGCGCGTTTTTACCACTTTTGAGAACCCCGTGGACGGGATACACAGCGTGTGCGCACTGTACTCAACCTCGTGCCCCGTGGGTACGATCTTGCAGCGCCATGTTGTTTCCCATCATGCCTTGCGCGATTGTAACCCCTGGAATTGTGTAATATAAATATACCAAAATACGGTACATTATAATTAGGGCTGCAGTTTATCCGTTTTACGTGCCGACGCCATCTTTAACATGTTAAAAGTTGTGATTTTGAAGAATCAATCCTTTCAAACACAACGTTTGGACGTTGTGTTAATTAGCAAAGATTTGTATTAAATGTACGTACCCCTTTCGTGCCTTTACAACCACAGATAGGCCCTACAGGGCTTTTTCTAGCGAAAAACGCGGCTGACATAATCCATATCGTACAGGCTTCGCGACTTTTGAATCATATTTTTTTTTCGTACATGACGTTACGTGCAAAGCTAAGCACGCGAGCGCGAGCGCATTATGGGCGCGCCCGGCGTGCAATCTTCGAAATGCCCGCGCAGTACGCTGTGAATAGCCATTCAAAGTGTCATTTACGTCATCATCACAGCCAGGGGTTAGTGTAAGGAACGAGCCGCGCCCCTGGAGTCGAGGCTGTACTGTACTGTATTGTAATAGTTCGCGCGCGGAATACGCACAACTTCCTGAATGTGCCAAAGCTCCAACTATACTCCCCGTCCCCAATAACTTTGGATCATTCGAAAAACGTCTTCCCCAACTTTCTTTTCCTGGCCGTTGAAGGGGCAGTTGTGCACGGAGCCTATAGGGCCTATAATTATGCATTTAACTTCCTACCTGACGCCAGCACGTACATGGAGAGGACATTTGAAAATCAGATATAACAAATGTGCTATTTAAAAATTGGTGACTGCTGTGATGTGGGATGGGATATGACGTTTGGAACACCCGAGGGGCGCATAGCACCCGAAGCGAAGATGACAAACTGCGTCCAAATATATTTGAAGGAATAGAGAATACCTTGCTATAAAGACAGCTCACATGAAGTCATTCAGGACGCCATATTGAACATGAATGCCTTCAAGTCCTTGTGTTAGAATCCAGAATGGATAACTTAATTATCACAGTGCAAATAAAAATCAATCAATGACGCACATACATAGGCCTACGTGATTTTGAAAATTGTAATTATGCTCTGGGCGTTTGCATGTACACGCGAATAACGTCACGGATTCAATTTTGGCGTTTGCTATCAGCTAAATGTTTACAGTTTATCTGTACTGTTTATATTTGACTAATAATTTTAAATCTGTGTTATTCTTATTTCAAACAAAATTAGACATTATCTGTATCATTCCAGAAGTATGAATATGATTTTAAATGGACGTTCTTACTGGTCTCTTTCATCAGTATAATGTTTTAATTGTATTTCTTTAAAACGTTTTCACAAATTGTTACAGTCTCATGTAGTAAATTATTTTTTTTGCACTTTTTCTATACAAAAGTCTCTCGCTTTGTTTTTGTAAGAATTATTAAAACCATTGTTATATTTTTTGCAATTATTAGGGGAAACCAGATGAAGAAAAACCAACATTTAACTTGAGAGAAGTAGATTACACCTGAAGCTAATCGTGGTCTGAATTTTTGATTTTAAAATGTTATTCATTATTCGGATCACCAGTGAAAATAAACCGCTAAACTGAAGAAGATGGTAATTTCAGTACATGTATTCCTTGTTGAATGTCTCTAGCGATTGCACTGCTTTTTAAATGGCATTCGGGAGCAATAGCTGGAGGTAATCAATAAGGCTAATGGATGACGGATGCCACGGGTAAAATGAAATATTGCATGAGATATTGGTCAGGTATAACCTGCCTGTAGTTGAGATCCATCATCACATACTGTGCTATATAGGCCTATGTCCACTTTTACATGCAAATATTTTCATGCCATGAAATTAATTGCATTCGCACACTACCCACAGGTTGATCATTAAGCCACTGATAATGAAAGTCCTCTCGGGCCATTCTTCAGATGTCAAGCTCTAAAGTGTCCTTAGAAATATAAAAACACACCCAAAACACCAGCAATATGAATATCGCATGAAATACGAACGAGTAAAAATGCAATGGAGATCGCGTAATTTGAAAGCATTTAGAATGGCGAATAGCACGTTGCTTTCGCCTCTATGAAGGACTCCTTTGTTGAGGCTCTTTCGGTTTCGGTCCAGCATCTGTCCCCATGGCAACGACGCCGTTGTCTGTTTGATGAGCTAGTCACGTGAACGATCGATCACGAGCCAGGGGAAGCAGAAAATAAACCGGTTTGTTTTGCTGCCGTAGTGTCAAGAGGTTCTCCGCAAGGTTTGCATAGCGTGTAATGAATGATAGCCACTCCTCGTATAACTGCTGTTGTTTTTATGGGTTTTTTCCAACCGATGCAGCTGCGGAAGTATGAGAATCTCATCGGAAAAAAATAGAGGGAAAACAGAGCAAGTGGAACTACTCAAATCTGAGTAGGATCACCGGCGGGATTCAAAAAATACTTTGGTAAACAGGAAAAGTGCAGGATAGGGCCGAGCAATTAAGTGCCATCCCGGTGTATAAAAAATGATGTTTTTGTGAAAAAAACTCACGGAGAAAAATAAGGCCAGACGCGCAACTTCTACTGAATCAACTTTTGAAGTTTGTTTGTAGACCATCCTCATGTCGTCAATTTACTCGACATTTTGGTCCAAGAATGACATATTGCACAAGTTTCTCGATAAAACAAACATCCAAATAAAGAGGTGAGAGGCTTTTTTTTTTTTACCAAAAGTTGAACTATTGACCCTTAAAATCCTAACCAAGCCCCGGCCCTCTGACAAGAACCACGTGTTTGTGTGATGAAATTCTTATAGTGAGTCCAATGAAATTCTTATAGCAAGACTAGCAAGCTGAAGTAACGGCTGTTTTCAGTCTGCTAAATACTTCACAACCTAAATTTGATATACGTATAGTACTGAATTTGGACACCTACTATAACGTGTATCCCGCAAACTGAAATACGGCCCTAGTGCATTGAAAATGGCATACGTCGAGAGTTTAAACACCTCTTTTCCATTCTACGAATCGATGTTTGTCTTTCCACTTTGCCAGATGTTTGATTCTCATTTTGACAAAAACCAACCAGAAAATCAACACGTAACATGTCAGTCCTTGGCTTTCAATATTTTGTAATTATTGAGACTCAAGTATTGCCAACAAATATTTAATTTGCTGATACAACGCGCACCCAGTGTTTAACATAAAAAACGCAGTTTGGTTTCATTTTTGTTTTCCATTATAATTTGCTCTTCTCGTAGCCTACAACATTTTTTTTCCAAACGAAATTTCAATTGTTATGTTATATTCTATAACGAAAACAAAACCTTTCCCTTTTTGGGTTTGGGCCTATATCTGGGTAGACTTTGCGCCCCAAACGCATCAAAAACATTAGCCTGAAATATAGTCGGATCACAATTTTTTTTTTTATTATTAAATAATTCAAGTACTCATTCCGTAACTCAACGTGTCGTTCAATATCTCTTTCAACAATGATTCACTTTTGTAATGCTAGAAAAATAGCAATAAATTACATTAACCCCTATTTACCAGGGAGAAACTCGAAATAGTACTGGTACAGTTAGCCCCTTTTTTCCCGACTTTTTGTGATGTGAATTAAAAACAATGACGCATTTTTTTTCACGAAACTAGAAAAAGGCGTGTTTTTGTTTGCATGTCTTGATCACGCCTCAAGATCACCGTCTAATATTTCTAATATGGATACCCCTGCGATTATCTATTTTAATTAATTCTATCGCAGCGTTATTTGCCAAAGTTCCTTGTTTTCTCACACTAAGCTAGCAATGATATCCACGACAGGAGATTTCCAACACTGGCTATATATATATTTACAGAGTCAATATTAGTTTACTGAAATCCACGCAAGATTGTTTTCAGCGGTATATCTTCTTGACAGTAAATCCCGCGGTTGAATTGTGATTGTGATTAAATTTCCAGAAGGCCTACATCTAATATCGAAAGAGTCATTCAGAAGGGCGGCATTCAAAAATGGTTCAAAGAAGCCCTCGTGTTTCGTCATCTAATGATGAAAATGTTTCACAGGCAACGATCCTGCGTCCTGTTTTGTGATGTAAGAGGATGGAGTAGGACATTTTGCCTTTCATGATCCGTGAAAAAAAACCCCACAAAACAGAAACCACCTGCCCAAGAAATCGATACACTGTCTTGCATGTTTCCCTTAAGACTTTCCGCTCGCGATTGAGAAACATGACATTGTGATAACATAGCAGACTTCGTCGCTTTGATTACGCTGAAGCTATATATTTGCGATTGAATCTTTATTCAAAACACACCATTGAAGGACTAAATAACATTCCAGTCAGATATTTTGCAGCTCGGACTAGACAGCAAAAGTAGTACATCATGCATGTAATGGAATTTTTGTAACGCCTTCCTTCCTTGAAATGTAACCTTGATGTTCCATTTAACTTCATTTGTAATCTTCCTATTGCTATTTCAAGGGCGTTTTGGTGCATGTTTTGTTTTTACGCCAATGCAAATTTCAATATTCATAAGCAGAATGTGATGTCATTCAAGGCAGAAAGTTCAGTTTCACATCAGCTTCAGCATGAAAAGACACCAGAATTTTAAGGGTTTGCTGTAATTATTTTCTTTTCTTGCTTTCAGTGGTTCATTGTTGTGTCACTATATGACAGACAATGAGATAAAAAAGAAGAGAATTAAGGGCTTACAATTTGAAGAGAAAACCCTAATCTTAAGAGTGTGTTTGTAAAGTGACATCACAGCCAAAGCGCTCTCATTTGTTAAGAAAAATACGAAACAGTTTAAATTGTAAAAAAAAAGTGCACTTGCATACTGTTTTTTCCACAAAGGGATGTATCATGTTTTTTTTAATACAATTTAGAGGAATGGATATTTGCTACAAATATGCTCCAGTGTAAAATTTATTTCATGAACACTTTCTATGATTTTTTTTAAACAAGTGCCAATACAGACATAAATCCCCCTCTTCGCTTTTCAACATCAGTTCATTTTTTATCACTTGAAGACCAATTTGTTCTCCATGGTTCTGTCATCTCAATAAGTAA